GGGCACTGCAGGGCAGCGGCCACTTGCCACTTAAGTCAGTTGTACTTCCTGGTTTCACTACCTGGTAGGTTCAAGTGCCCACCACATTTGGAGGGGTGGGTTGAGGGGGCTTAGCACTGTTTCAGAGGGAAGGGGTCTCTCCCCATGATGAATACATGAAAGTGACTTGCTCTTTGGTCCCTCGTAGGGCATCCTGTGCCGCACCTTGCAGGGCCATGCCCACTGGGTAAACACCATGGCGCTCAGCACCGATTATGTTCTCCGGACGGGGGCGTTTGAGCCGGCCGAGGCCTCCGTCAACCCCCAGGATGTGAGCGGATCACGTAAGAGCACCTGGCCCTTGGGGACTCCCTGGCTTCTTCTGGTTCTTGCTTTTTCGTCTCGGTTTCTATTGTCGGAATCTAACCCTGCGGGCAGAATTTGGAACAAACCGAGAATTCTGGCTGTTGCTTCTTCAATATCATTGTTATTCTTAAGTTTCTACCCCAGTGTTTCTCAACCTTGGCAGCTGGAAGATGGGTGGACTTCAACTCCCAGAATTCTGAACACTGTTCTAACCTTTTCTGGTCAGTCCAGAAAATTATGTAGACAAAATTATGTAGACAAAACCTGCATATCTCTTGCTGCAAGAGTTGCTGGGTGGAAAAGACTTTATGGAGGGCTGTCCTGTTTAATCAGCTTGTAATGAACATTGGTATAAAGTCTAGGTTTTATACAGACACCCCATATGAGAGGAGGTAGTTTGCCTATCTCTAAGTCCTTCCGATCGGTCAGACTACAACTCCCATTAACCACAGCCATTGTGGATCTGGGGCATTTTGTAACTCATCATTTGGAAGGAACCTGGGGGGGGATGTGGGCTTATTGAGTGACCTGGAAACATGTTCTGCGTTTCTTTTCTGCTTGTCTGCAAAATTATGAAGCAGTATTTTACGTGGTTACTCAAGGGGAAGACCTGCTGCGTTTAAGTGGTGATTTATTGCCTGACAGGCATTTTTGTAGGTCTCTTGGCATTTTAAATTGACCCCGTTGCCCATTCCACCGCATAATGCACAAATAGAAAACGTAAAATGCAAGACAACAGAACTGTGACAATGAGACCGAGAGTCAGTTAAAAATAAGCAGCGATTAAAATTGGCAGCAACCTGCAGTAGCAATAAAAGACCAAAAAGTGCTAAAAGCCAGTTAAAAAGCTTTAAATGGGTGCCAAAAAGATAGCCAGAGAGCGGGCATGCCACATAAATTCTGTCGTTCTTTTCCTTTGCTGGAAGCTAAACTTGGACTGTTCAGCTTTATTGGAGAGTAAGTCTCACAATGCACCAAACCACAGAGCAAAAGTCATACAGTTGGCTGGCAGAGTTTAAAAGATGTGGGCACCCCCAGTTCCAGAGACTGGGGAAAGGAGCTTTTGTGCACCACATTTAATTAACAGAATATTTTATGCAGAATAAGCTGAGGAGTGTAGATGTGGCAGAACTCCTTGGGGCAGAATTTTCAGTGAAATGGACTCTCTCCAGTCCGTCTGCTATTCTGCTCACAGTACAGGTAGTCCTCGAGTTACGACCATTTGTTCAGCGACCATTCGAAGTTACGGCGGTGCTGAATGAGGGGGACTTATGACTGGTCCTCGAAGTTGCAGCCGTTGCAGCGTCCCTGCAGTCATGTAATCACGATTGTGGCACTTGGCAACCAGCTTGCACTTGCAATGGTTGCAGTGTCCCATGGTCACGTGATTGCTGTTTGCGACCTTCCTTGCCAGCTTCCCACAAGCAAAGTCAATGGGGCAGCCATCAGGGAAGGTCACAAGTTGCTCGGGTAAGTCTCTCCCACCTACGCACCCTCCCCTAGCCCCTCTGCACTCGGGCTGCAGCAACCATCTGCACACCCTTCCTGGCCACTCGTGCACCCTCTCCCACCCAGCAGCAGCCACCCCAAGTCCCGCCACGCTTGTGCTGCACCTCTCCAGCCACCCACACACCCCCTCACTCCCTCCCCCGCCCAGCAGCAACCTCTCACCTGCCCTACAGCCTGCTTGCGAGCCGCCTGGGACTTGTGACTTCCTGCTGGCTTCCCCACTGACTTTGCTTAACCCATGATCCTCACTTAACAACGGCAATAGGGAGTGCCAGGACTTCCATCACTAAGCGATGCAGTCATGTGGCCATTTTATGACCGCATTGCTTAGCAACAGAAATTCTGGTCCCAATTGCCGTCATTAAGCGAGGACTACCTATAATGGTGGTGCATCCTATTTCATCCCCTCTCTCTTTTTCTTCCATGCCTCACTTCGCTTTGCTTTTCCTACAGTGGCAGAGATAAAGCAAAAAGCGTTGCTGAGGTACAACCAAATCAGGGTAAGTCATCCATTTTTATTTTTTTTAAGTTGGTCACCTAGGGCAAGTTGCAGATGGTCACCGGGTAATTAAGGTGGGAAGGACATAAAAAATTGGTCTTTTTTT